GTGGTTAGTACCATAATATATACTAAGGACAATCCTAACCCCCAAGGGGCCTCTAGTCTAGCTATAGAAATAAACATTAACATATGAAGCAAATTTAAAGTCATATGTTCTAGTTTATAATTAATTATATACTGAACTAAATGATCACACTTTCACATATATAATTTTATTACCAATTCAAAGGAGTTTACCTATGACCCCATATTAAGAATTTCTGTTATGATAAGTATTGTATGATTATAGTGAGGTTGTGGCTACAGATATGTGATAACTCTTTTCATTCTATAGTGTTCACCTAGAAGGACAGGTAGGATCAAAGGGAAGCAAAAGCCCAGGGGCACACATAATCAGTAACTTGCATGGAGAAAATGGGCCTAATTGAATTCAAGGGAGTAATGTGGAAATCATGTGAATACATAGGCTGGGGCCAAACATAGAATTTCCACTTGATTTCATGGGCTGGTTGGTGGTCTTTGTTTTGTGTATAAGTAGGGGAGTGAATTGACAAAGTAGATTTTTATTCAGAAATTTTCTGGCATTCTTGTGCAATGTTGAATCAAAGTGGTATGCAGTATCAAAAATAATTGATTGAATTTATTTAAAATATTCCTGATGTTATCTTGAAATAAATTGGTGAGGGCCTGGACCGAGAGGTTACCAAAGGGTCAGGTGAGCACAGTTATGAAGGAAGAAGGTATTGGATGTAAGGATAAAGCAAAAGCAGAATTAAGGGACATCTTGGACCCTGTTTACCAGGAAAGCATTGTTAAAGGGAGATTACTAATGAGGGGACATGTTCAGGGGCTCCTGATCTCTCTCAGCTCTGTAGCCTCCTTTGTCCCATCATCTCCTTAGATCTCTTTTATGTGAGAAAGTAGTTCTTTTTGTAAAAACTCTGTTGAAAGTTCCTGCTCCCTAGGAAAATTCACACATATACTTTCGGGGGGTTCACAGATATTTCTAGCATCCTAGCTGTAGTTTCCTATGTCCCCAGGTTAAGAGTTCCTGATGGGACAACTGTTTTGTGACTGTGATAAGGTTGGACCTAACCATAAATCCTTTGAGTTTCTTTGTAAGCTCACAAAAATATTTGTTCAGAATAATAAGCCACCATCATTGAATTGGCAGTAAGACCAAGGCCTGTGTGCTGGCACAGGAGGGACTGTGATGCTGAGTCTTCTGGCGTGGAAAGGGTTAGTCTTAAGATTTTTCTGGTTGAGCTAGGGACCACAAAATCTAAGAGCAAACTCCATTCCTTTGCATTAAGTGTGTGTGGAGATTCTAATCCTGCTGTGCTGAGGCCATGGGGGTGCTCTCACTATAACAAGGTCCTCATCTTTCTTTGCAGAGTTGTAGGTTTTATCTTCTAGAGGGAAGACTGTCACATCTAATACGTTAGAATTTCAAACTTTGCTGTTTAAAGAAAACAGAGTTTTTTATTTATTTGAATGGAGTTCATCTCTCGCACTGTAACACCCTACAATTCTGGGGCTCCTAGAAGCCACCTAGAAGGCTGAGTTTTCATCTCTCTGTGCCCTGTCATCCCTTGGCATGTATATGAATATATACTCACTTTTCCTGGCTGGTGATGATTTTTGTCCATTATTGACACTAGTGGTCTTTGCTGTCTTTGTACTGCTGCATCTTGGAAAAGAAAGCTTCTGAGAGGAGCAGGCTGTGTTCTGCCCCACTGCTTCCTTTCTCCTGGCCAGGCTGAACACCAGCCTGCCTTTGTGAGGAAGCAGCTATCAAGCAAACACAGCAGGAGAAGTTTAGAAGTCAGGAGTTTCATTCCCTGCCTAATGAAAAGGGATGTAGAGCTGTGGTTGTGGCCTGCAGGAATAGGCAGTTTTGGGAGGGAGTTGGGATTTGCTCTGTGGAGCAGGTATCATAGAACCAAGCCTGCTATCTGCCTACCCTCCCATGTCGCAAAGACATTGCTCCACAAATCTATCCCAGAGAAACTGGGTTAAGTGAGATGCAAAGGAGAGCCCCACTGAGAAATGATGACCAGGCAGCATACCTTGTTTTCAGCAGAGCCTGGACCTCCACATTTTATTTCTCATGTGTATAACTCTTCATAGTCAGTCATTGCGTGTGTCCTCACAATCCTGGAACATAGATGTACACTCCCTTTGGGGAAGAGCTGTGGTAGGCCTGCCCATCTTGGCTTTTGTTCCTTTCCTCTTTAAGATACAGGCCTGGATTTCTGTCCTGGGCAGTTCCCCTAGAGCATGAGCTTTGCATCAAGCAGAGGGAAGTCTTCTGCAGATAGCTCATTTGGGGTCATTTCTGCAGCAACATGGGGGCAAGAATCAAAGCAACCTCAACACAAGGAAGGAGTCTCAAGCTGAAATGGGTCAGTTTGCTTATTTCTCACAGATCTCTCACACTTAGTAGGCTAGGTCTGGTGTACCACTGCAACCTGGGAGTGCTTCCTAGACGGGCATTATTTGAACTTAGTAGTTAACTACTTATTTGTTGACTTTCAATGTTACTTCTCTTCTGTTAACAAAATAAAAACTATTTCTCAACGTAGATATGATGTTACAGTGCTGCTTTCTTGCTGCCTCTTGAATGTACCGGAAATTGATCTAATTTAAATCAGATCTAATCTAATTTAATATCTTAAGTGTGAAAAATTTAAGTCTTTGAAAATTGTTTCAAAATTAATACCTGAATGCAAATAATATCTGATAATAGGCTTTTCAGGAACAAGGTAGAGCATAAATACATTTTTCTTTAATATTAAGATTTAATTTTCAAGATTTTTGTTGTTTTAAATGTCAAATACACTATTATCCATATTTTCCAGTTTTTGGTGTTATATTTTTCCCCCTTTGGTAGCATGTTCAGTCTTGGTTAAGTGCTGGATTTCTGTTTATGGCACAGAGCTACTTTGGGGTGACAGAAAGAAAGAAGAATTGTAGTTTACTACCTCACTGCTTTTGCCTAGAGGACCTTTGCTTTCTAACTTGTTGTTCAGACCCTGTTATTTTTCCTCATAGTGTATGAGATGTTCTCTAGCCCTCAGGAAAAGCCAAGAATTCAGCAGTGCTCTAACGTGAACCTGTCTGTTTATAGAACCTGCAGATCTATTTATTTTGGTTGTCCTTGTTGTTAAAGGATAAGGCTGTAGGCATTTAGTGCCCCATAGGACCTATAGAAAGTTGTGCAGGCCTGGCTTGAGGGAGGTAAGGCACTGTCAGGGTAGGAGGGAGCTTGCCTTGTCTCATAGAGGCTTGCATCTTAAGTCTGTGTTTTCCAGTTTACAGTAGCAAAAGTGAGAGACCCTGTTGGTGGCAGATGAGGTTATAGAAATAGGACGCAGCCAAGACATAAGCAGGGCTTTGGGAGGTGGAAGAGTTATATCGTTTGTTGGCTTCTAGCCTTTGGTTTCCCATATAAACCATCTTTTAGTCCTCTACCCGTAGCTTCCAAATTCCAAGGGACAAGGGGCAAAGCTTGAGAATCAGCCTCGATCAGGATCCCCTGAATGATAAATCACTAGACTCAATTGTAAAGGGAAATAGTCTGACTCATTTGCAATTTCTAAAGCTGAAGCCCTTGATTCATATTCAGGAGGAACCATGGGATTCACAGAATTTGGAAATGCTTTATATGAGTTAGTTTTCACATCAGAGTGAATGAGAGAGTGTATGGTTTGTTTGGTTTTTTCCTTGTTAATTCTGTACTTACCTCATCATGGAGTAGAAACTAGATAGTCAGGAAAGCTTTTGTTATTTCTGAACCAAAAGTGTTTCGAATCAGCTGGGTGAGAGATCCCCTGGGATGGAGGAAGGGGCTCAGGTGGATGATAAAAAACAAGTAGGTAAGAAATATGACTGTTCTACTTTGCACTGAGCAACACCCACACCATTTGGTTAATGTGGGTTTGGTTTAAAAACTGATGACCCTGAAAGTAACACTCCTGCAGAGTGGTGTGCTCTTCTCCTGGTCCTTGAGTGAGTGCCTGCGTGTGAAGAAGGTGGAAATGTGGCTGCTCGTGTGTCCCACAGACTGAACTTTGTTCTGGTCTGGTCTGAGCAGCTTTCTCTGTATTTCCTCTGGAACTCAAAAACCCTAAAGTTTAGTCCACAAAGTGGAAACACCCTGAATCTATATTTCTCTATCTCTGAACTCAGAAACTCTTTCCTACTAGACTCTGCAGGCTGGCAGTATATATAGGAAGGCCTTGTCTAATAATGTGGGAACCTTGTGATTTACCAGTCATTTTATCCTGTGGTCCTTCACTGTTACACCAGTGATCATGCCCAGTGTTGCCTAGGCTTCTGTCCCTGATACGACCACTGAAAGGATTGGGACATTGGAGCAAACCAACCCGTGATCCAATGTTTGGCGGAGTCCCAGAGTCCTTTGTTAAATCTCTGTTATTACAACCTACGATTGACTGAAACTGAGGCTTCCTGTCAGTTCTGTAGCATTTACTTTTTTTTTTTTTTTTGCCTACTGTTAAATGACTTTTCTGAACAATAATTGCTCCATTCAATGCAACTTTTTACCTAGGAGGAGCTTCTTTCCATTAGAATTGGAACACTAGCTACATATTTTGCATTTAAAATGTTTCATGTGATTAAACACTAAAAGAAACGTTATTACTTCTGTTTCTTAGGCTTTTGTGTCTGGAACAAAAGCCTTTAATTTGGAAACAAGTAAGGGAGCCCTCTGATTATCAAGTACACAGTTAGCTAAAACTGGCAGCCAAGTACTAGTAACTGAGTTTAGAAGAAGAGCAGCCTTATATTCTTCCCTCTAGCAAATCCTCTTGCAAAGACTGGCTACTCAGCATTGTGCAGTGTGACTTGTGTAGTCATACATCCCCATTTTCCCACTGTTCTACCCTTTTCAAACATTGTGATTTTTATTTTAATCAGTTTTTCTCTTCTTCCTTTACAGAGCCATTAAGAATGGCAAAGGATTGCATAGCAAGAAGGAAGTGCCTATCCACCGGGTCGCAGATATATCTGGGGTGAGTCATATCCCTGAGTGGAGCTGTATAGCTCTGAGGGTTCAAGAACATGTGCGTGTTATTTGCTGAAGGACGTCAGCTTATGTGTGTTTTCCAGCTTACTCTTTTTCAGACATTGAATATGAATTTTTCCAGGGCATCCACTTCAGAATCTGTAGGGATCTGAAAAGACAGAATTCAAAACCTCATTCTGTTTCTCTGCCTGAACTATGAACTATCTCTATGTTGCTTGTCTTTTTTTTTGGATCCCTAAGTCAATGATTATTTTTCTACTTTTAATTACTAATTTATTTTCTAATTTGTGATTAGAAGGTACTTCTTCCCTGTTATATTAAAATAAAATTACCTCTTCTTTCTTTCTCTCTCTCTCTCTCTCTCTCTCTCTCTTTCTTTCTTTCTTTCTTTCTTTCTTTCTTTCTTTCTTTCTTTCTTTCTTTCTTTCTTTCTTTCTTTCTTTCTTTCTTTTTTTCTTCACTTCCTAAGGCAGAATCAAAATATCTGTTTTTAAGTTCCTGTTTAATTCTCACTGTGAGTGGGAAGTTTTAGTGGTAGAAGGTCTAGTATAGGTTTTAGGACAAGTGTAAGAATTCATCATGATTTCCTTATGACTTCTTTTTCATCTGCTTGCCTGTAATAAGTGGAAGAGAATGGAAAAATGTGTAAACATCCTTTGCAATAATAGATGTAGATTATATGGAAGAGTTGGTGACACAAAGTTCCCAAAAGGCTATGTCCATCTGACAATTTAGCAATAAGGGCTTTGCTTTACCCTTGCACATTTAGGATCTCTTTTGCCAAATAGATCCCCTTGTTAGTTGAGTAGGTCTGTTCATTTATTCCACAAGTGTTTATTGAGTGCCTGCTGTATGCCACGAATTGCTCTAGGCCCTGCAAATTTAACAATGAAGAAAACTGATAAAGTCCCTATTCAAATGAGAAAGGGAGACAATTGTAATGTCAGGCTGTAACAACTACTGTGAAGAGAAATAAAACCAGCTGATGGGTGAGTAATACAAGATTTTGATCAGGTGTGTTCCTGAGCGTCATTCATTTCAACTCCCGTAGTCATTAATGGTTAAGGAAGGGATCAGGTATGTGTCAGCGGTAGGGAAGACCACATAGCCCACGGAAGATGGAGGAGGAGGGGCTAGTAAATCGTAGCTTGGACACTCAGGGAATTTGCCTTGGGCACTGAGAAGAAAATATTATACTATTATAAACAAAAGGTTCCAGAGCTCAGCCTAGCCCATAGCAGTGATGAATTACAGTCTATTATCTTCCTGTCGTGTGCCCAGGCCTGGCTGAGGCTTTTTGTGTTATTCCTGGTGATTGCTTATTACAAATGTGTCTGGCCAGCTCACCCTTAACTAGGTATAGTAGTACCCCGCTCATTTTAAGCAATGGGACTCTAGTGAGCTTTTCTTTCTCTATAGCTATTCACTGCATAGTACAAATTAAACAGTGTTTACCTACCATGCATCAGTTGAATGTCAGTTTAGAAGCTGGGCCCTCTGTTGAGTGGATGAGGTACTGTGATAGGCATTCTTTGTGGCTTAGACTGAGAAGCTCAGAAACCTGTGGCTAATGGCCTTTGAGGCACAGGTGACTGATGTATCTGCTAAGTCTCATTTTTAAAAGGTCTCACCCAGTGCAATGTTATTTAGCCTATTTTCTCTGTGGCTTACCTGGCTGAATTATTCTTTGCATATATATTATTAGCTTTTATATGTGTGTGATATGGCATTCTCAACAATACTTTCCTTAATGTTCTTTTGGTAGAGATGTAATCAGAGGGCAGTTTTTTGGCTATTCAGCTGCAGGGGAAAAAGTCATAAATACCTGTTTTGGAGATATGTGAGGGCCAAATATGCCCATGTAAGGGCGCACACTCCAGGGCCTTCCAGAAGCTGAATTCAATCTTGGAGATATGTGCTCTCTTTTGGCTCGTGCAAGTTCATGTTGCTCCAGTTTCTCACTGGCAGTGAGGTAAAGTGACTCTTAGGAGGTTTTTGAGGTTAAAGGGCACCTCTGTCAGAACTGGACAGCGCCTCCCAGTGTAGTATCTAGAAGATCCTCATTGCTTTCTCTGACTCTTATGCTGCCTTTTAACTTCATGTTTTCGGGTGCTTTCTTATTCCTTTGTTTTTGTTGTTAGTAGTAATAGGACTCATGAAACTTGTCTTCTTTTTTTTCTACTCCTACCCCACCAACTACCCTGTAAGCTGTAGCTCAGTTTCATACCCATCTGGATATTGGAGGATTGGTTTGTTCTTAAGTTATTTAAAAATAAATGCCACTTAAATTTCCCTCACTTACCACATAAATAAAAGAGGAAAGCTTGAACAAGTGGAAGACTGAAAGTGAAAAAGCTATTCAATTTAAATAGATGTCATATATGACCTTGTCTGTTTAAATCACAAATTACTCAGCGAAGAATTGCAATTTTTTGTGCCCTCTGTAATAGAGGAGTTTTGTCTTTCTTCCCCTTCTAACCTTCCCTCCTCTCCACGATAGTGTTAAGTTTGTGTGTATATTTGGGCACCCTTGTCCCATTTAAGTGAGATGTATGGGTTTTCCACTTTCCAAAGCATGCTGGTCACTCCGCCATCTGAGAGACTGGTAGACATGTGGTGGGGTCAGACCTGGAATAAAGGCAGTATAGTATACACATATGTAATATTTTCATAAAGGCGTCTTAATCTTTTTTTTAATCTTTAATTGTATTCCCCAGTGCCCCAGATTGATCTTCCTCTTATGGTGGGTCATGATAAATGGAGGTTTTGCTGAGCTGACAGGGTAGCCAATATGCTGGCAAAATAATTTACTATGAACTGGTATTTGTGCATAATACCTCTCACCATCCTCTTCTTCACCCAGTATACATCGTTGAAGACAGAAAAAAAAATGACATGGATAAGCACACATTTTTTCTCCTAAACACAGTCAAGAAATGTGCTGTATCGAAGAAGTTATACCATTGTTGTAAGGCAAATGACCTATAACTTTGTTGTAGTGTTAACTGCCTGTATCTTTAGGAGTTGAGTTTCTGTCCATTCTCCATATCTTTTCTCTTGTAAAAGAAACAGAAACTAAAAATATTTTTGTATAGGCCTGGCCAGGTGGCTCATGCCTACAATCCTAGCACTCTGGGAGGCCGAGGCAGGAGGATCACTTGAGCACAGGAGTTTGAGACGAGCCTGACTACAAGCGAGACCGTGTCTCTGTGAAAAATAGAAAGAAAAATTAGCCAGACATGGTGGCACTTGCTTGTAGTCTCAGCAACTTGGGAGGCTGAGGCAGGAGGATCACTTGAGCCCAGGAGCTTGAGGCTGCTATGAGCTATGACGATGCCACTGCACTCTACCCTGGGTGAAAGAGTAAAACTCTATCTCCAAAAAAAGAAAAAAAAAAAAAATGTTTTTTTATGGAGATTTGGCAAGTGTGAGACCTGCTTGGCTGACTGCACATGGTGGGAAGTAAGTAACCCACGCGTGGGTTGAGCGGTTAATGGCCTGCCTTGGCAGGTGACACCAGCCTCTGCAGTAGCCAAAACCTGCAAGGCTGTTTGTTTGTTTGTTTGTTTGTTTGTTTGTTTGTTTGTTATTACAAATGGCTTTTTATGGTAATGTCAGCTAAGTGTTGTGTCTTCCATAAGATGGACAAAGCATGCGCATGTAACACCAACTGAATGAAAGCCGAGCTTGTCTAGGGCTTTGATAAAACTTGGCCCATCTGCATCTTTTGCACCTATTTTCAGGGAAACTACTAAGGAAGTAAAGTACTTATTGCCAAACTGGTAACTCAGATCCTGAAGAAGTAACTAGTTCTCCTTTATTTCCAGTTTCTCAAGATATAGGAAGTGAGCTATTACAAGTACCAGCCAGTGCTGTCATTTCTACAGTCTGGTTTCCTTTTGGGCCAGGATGTTCCTATGTATGTGGAACCAACTAAGAATTTGACCAGCTCGGTACTATTAATAGATCTGATTTGCTTTGGAGGATGATTCTGTGATGACTGCTTTACTTCATATACCCATGTTTTCATTATTAGTTGACTTTGTTTTTCCCTGATTCTGTCTCAACTCCCTCCTTTGCCAGCATAGAAAAAGTTGGAATGTGTGTGTCAGTGTTCTTTATCTTAGATTTCTCAGTTGTTCTTTATCTTAGGTTTATTATTGTTTTTGCTGTAGCGGCTCTGTAATAAATACTATCTCCTGCAGATACAGAGTGTAAAACAGGCAATAAAATAGGGCTGGTACATGGCTTACTGTTGTTTTGGTAGCTCAGACAAATCAATTATGGTTCTGAGATTAGAGCGAGCTCCCCACTCCTCAGGTTGCAGCCATCCCTGCAAGTGCTGATTTCCTCCTTTACCCCACTCCTCTTCCATTTGTACTTGGTAAGAGTGACTATTTGAGTTTTTCTCTCCGTTTCTTTCCTCTGCATGAGGAGTTATGATGTTTGTTTGTTTGTTTGTTTGTTTGTTTGTTTGTTTGTTTGTTTGTTTGTTGATGGCACAAAAAGTAGAGCCTAAGGCCAGCATCCACTTCAGTCTTATTCTGAAAATCTCAGAATGGGGATTATCTTTCTTTGAATACATTCTGCCTTTTCATGTTAGTTGGTTGTGACAACTCACTTGTTAATTTCACTTTTTACAGTATTTACTCTCCTCATCTGTGGGTCTTTTTTTTCTTTTAACTACTGCTGTGCTCTCTTAGACATTTATCATGCTGTGACTTGATTTCTTGCTTGTGTCACATACCAACTTTTTTATAATCTTCTCTCTCCATGACTGATTTTGTTGGAGATGCATAGTATTACTGATAAAAATATGCTTAAGCCATTGGCCTGGATTGATCCAACGGCTACCTCTGGGAGGTGCAAGGGGAGGACGTCAGACTTTTGGGTCCCTGTTACTCATGAAATGAAGTGAGTCATGAAATGAACATTTATAGAAGTAACCAGCAGGATTCTAACTATCTTGCACATATAAGGATAGAAGTGTTCCTTTAAAATAGTTAGATAGGTAAGACTAGATAGCTTGATAAGAGATAGGTATCTAGAGACAGACAGGGTAGGAATTTTTTTAGCCTCTTTTCCTGATTTCTTCCTTCGATTTCTGGTTTTTCACTTGAATAACACTGTGCTCCTTTCTTTGAAATTTCTGAAGCAGTCCTCCTTTCTGTAAGAGGCTTGGGGACCTTTAAAGGAGTTACCTTTCCTTAGCTACTTATGGACTTGGGGCTCGGTGGAGGAATAAGAAAAAAATTAATATTCTTTTTGGCTAAAGAGAATTAAACACAGAAAAAAAAAGTGGTTTTCCCACTAAGTGTGAAGAAGGTAAAAGCTACAAAATTACCCAGGGGCTTTATAAGTTAGGTCTGTGTTAAGTTGCATATTCCCTTGTATGTCTCTGGCCCACTTAGTTTAGATTTCCTTCTTATTCTTCTATGAATCTAAAGTTCCTTTCAACTACCTTTCTGTTCTTTTTAATCTCTGGTATTTGGTGGCACAAATGCTACTTCTTTAAGTGTTATTTTGGGTTGTTTTTATTTTGAAACAGAGTCTCAGTCTTTGCCCATGCCAGAGCACAATGGTGTCACCATAGCTCACTGTATCCTTGAACTCCTAAGCTCAAGAGATCCTCTTGTCTCAGCCTCCTGAGTAGCTAGGACTACAGGTGTTCACCACCACTCCTGGCTAACTTTTTTTTTTTTTTTAATATTTTTTGGTAGAGACAGGATCTCACTATGTTGTCCCGGCTGGTCTCTAATACCAGGCCTCAAATGATGCTCCCCCCTCAGCCTCCCAAAGTGCTAGGATTACAGGCTGAGCCACCATTTTGTTTTTTAATAGCTCTTCTGTTTCTTATTCTCCCTTGGCCCCACATGATGCTCTGATTTATCTCTTGTGCCAATTGCAGTTACTATACAGATGGCACAAGGTCAAGGCCTGTGGTTCTGCTTGGTGGGTTTCCGTGACCTGTAGGGGTGGCCTAGCACTGGAGCACCATTCACACACTAGCCACTGGCTCCACTGCTGGGCTCTTTCTGCATTTGCTACCCTGAGGAAATCTCAAAGGAACTCTGAAAGAGACAGCTCACTGGTGAACTTGCTATCTAGAGCAAGCACTTACATGCTACCTGCATATGGTTGGCTTCTTGCTGGGAAGCCATGGTTGGTGGAGTGTCAGGTTCTCTTGGTGGCTTTCTTGCATCTCTGCTACATTTGGTAGATCAAGTTGTTGCTAATTTAGGAAAAGATATTTCTCTCTATATTCCCTTCTTCCTCTTCCCTCAACTAAAGTTTCTTGAACTCCAATTGAATTGCAATGTGCAGGTAATTGACTTGGATTCTCTGCACAGAAACATGCACACAGCACCTCTGATGCCAAAGTGGCAGCCAACTTGGAAGTTTCTACCAGGCTCTTTCTTTTTCTTTTCTATTTCCCCTTGCTATTCCTTCTCTCTTTCCCTTTCCCTTCTTCTATTAATAAAACCCCTTGTGTGCAAAAGAGGTGGGTGTTATTAAGACTTTGTGCCAGAGGGTTTGCTTTAGCCAGTAGCCCTCACTCTCCAGGTGAAGGTCATTGCTTTATTATCTTTTTGTTCATAGTTTCTTTGTTCACATGAGTTCTGTGTGGCCAGTTCTTGGTTTTTGAAGCTCTCCTCTTCAAACTTCCCAGAACTGCAGGAACATCCTTTTCTCCTAAATAAATCTGGAAGCAGTTATGAGTACCATGGGAATTTTTTTAAGATTGCATTTTTTGGCATTTATTACAGTTAATGGTGGTTGTATTTAAGTACCTCTTTTTACAAATCTTAATCCACCTTTTAACTGAGTTGTGTTCTTTTTGTAGTGCACCAAATTTAGGACATGGTGTCTCGCTTTTCTTTAGTTGGGAGTCTCAGAAAAATTGTTCAGGACTTTGAAAAGATCAAGAAGGTTACTGGGTATCCTTCCAATGAAGTGCTGGGTGTTGCCTAGTAAACCTTTGTAGTTATGTGATTCTGTAGAGATTCTGCTGCTGGGTGGTTTGTTTTCTTATAAAAAGTGGCAATAGCCCTGTCTCTAATAGTGTTCCACGTTGTGCAAGTCACCTGATCAAACATGTCCTCAGAGGAATTGAATTGAGAACTGGGACACTCTCCACAAAGGGCAAGACACTGTGCCCTGCCTTCCCTTTACAAGCTCACTACCTCAAGGTTATCTGCTACGGTGCCTGAATATTCCAAAACAGGACTATTTTGAACAAAATGGTAGACCAAGTAAGGTACAGGCTTAGAAGCAAACATTCTGCAAATGAAAGGACATATTTACTTTAGAAATTTTTATTTTTATTTTTTTTAAACCTTTCACATCCAAATTAGTCTTCATGTTTCTAGGTACAGAGGAGACAGTAAAACAAAGGTTTTCAAAGTACATAATTCTGTTATCATTTATTGCCCACTGTTATAAACAGTGTGGTATTTCTCTTGCTTGTGTAACTTTTACCCACGTAAAAGATAATTTCCAATTAAGGTAAAATCATGACTTTTATACAAATATAAAATGAACACGTGTCAAAAATTTTATTTTAACTCACTAATTAGTGGGGGAACCAGAAAGATTCAAAGGAAACTGAAAAACAAACATAGATAGGT